TTTCCCTGCCTTTTTCTCTAAGGAATTTGAATCCCACACATGAATTATGGAAGGATAAACTGTCATTGCTCTAACTCTGTCCATCAAATTCATGCTTTTACAACACAAGATCCCATGTTTTGGGTCAGGCAGAAGCATGGTGGCTATTCCACTTGGGCCTAGGTAATCTTTTTCTGCATTAGAGAAACATTTGTCAGTATATAACAACTTTATAAATTATCCTATATTTATATCATTCTGGTTACCACAAGGATTTAAGAAATCTTAACCAAACATAATTCCAACCCAGAAAACATAGAAGTGAATTTCCAAGAAGTAGGCAAAAGAAAAACAAGTACAGAAATAGAAAAGGAGGTCTAGGTTAAAGTTAAGCATAGAATGCTAGAGGGTCTGGATGCCAGTATATATAGATATATATATATAGATATATATATACACATGTGTGTATATGTATATATATGTATGAAAACACCAGCAGATGGTGCAGTGGTTATGTCACTGGACTCCCACATAGTTGACTATAGTTCGAGTCCCAGACCTAGCAGTTTGAAACTCATTCCAGGTGTATTTGCATGTGTGCCTAAAATCTCAGGAAGAAAATGGAAGAGATGGGATTGCAGCATGGCCACCCCCTGGGTGGGGGTGGGGGAGTGATTCCTCATTTTCTCTTTCACTGTCTCTGTCTCTGTTGCTCTCAGGTGAGCGCCCATGCCCTAAGGCAAAAACCTCTTAAGATATCTATCTATTTATATTTGTATTTATAATCATTGCATGAGTCAAAGGTAGGCACAGTAAAAGCTAATCAATCTGGTTTTAGCAGAAACCCAACCTCGATCAGATTGAAAATAATTTCTGCTTCAGAAAGAGAACCCTGTGAAGTTTCACGATCAACACCTTCAGAAGCTCAAGGATACTTTTCATAGATAGTCAAATGGGCCTCACACTTCCTATTTATCTTTGAGACATTGTCCTACTGGACTAGCTTAAGAAAATCACAGATCAATAATATTAGATCATCAGAGGAGTCATGATATGTTTTTTTTCTATGCAAAAATGCATTATGACTTCTCCACTGACCCGATAATATTGGTTAATCGGTATCCTGCAGTCCTGTGTTAGGCTCTTCACTGGCACAGTGGGGACAACTACTAATCCCAGTTGACAGGAAGAGAATTGGGGATGGTTGATTGGTTAGTTAACTGGTGGTTGGTTGGTTGGCAGGTGGGATGGATGATAATTTAGATAGCTGGTTGGGTGGGTGGGTGGGTGGTTGATTGCCCGGATAGATAGATAGTTGAACAATTTGATAAATAAAGCCAGAGGCTATCTTCCTATAACCAGCACTGCCTAGGGACATCCTCACAGGAAAACAAGAGAGTAGATCTCTTCTTAGGCTTGCAAACACACTCATGATTTCATAGGTGGTGCAGCAGAGCAGTTAAAGGCACAGGTTAGGGAGGCTAGCTTCAAACTGTGATTCTGACAGTAACAGACTGCAACCTTGGGCAAGTTTCTGAACCTTTCTGTGCCTCAGTTTCCTTACCTACACAATGAAGATAGAAATAGCTGCCTCAAAGTGTGCTGGTGAAAAATGTTTAAGATAGGGACCAGCAGATGGCATAATGCTTACGTCATTAGACTCCCACATTGCCAACCACAGTTCAAGTCCCAGACTCAGCTTCTTAAACTCATACTGGGCACATGCGTGTGTGTGCCCAAGATCCCAAGGGGAGGCTGGAGAAGAAGGGATTGCAGCATGGCCACCCTCCCTCGAGGGTGATTTCTTGCTTTCTGTTTCTGTGTCCCTCTCTGTCTCTGGTGAGCTCACACGCCCTATAGCAAAAACCTCTCTTCAAAAGAAAGAAAGAAAAAGAAAATAAGATAAAAAATGCCTGGCAAGCTCCTGGCAAGTAGTAAGCTACCAATCAGTGTTAGCTATGAACCAAAAAGCCTGAAGATATTTTTCCCTTCAGAGTAATGGTTCTCCTGGACCTAAAACCTCCAATGGCAATGGTATACGCACTTCAGGCAAGTCACGGTTTCCCTGGGCACAGTACACACAGGCTGTGAGTCCTTCTTCATTGCCAGTGATGGTCCCCCTACAGCCACTGGGATAAACCAGCGTTCAAGTTTCATTTAACAGTTCACACTCTAAAAATCAAGCCCTGCATTTGCCTTGATTTCTGCACTTGATGTGTTACTCCAATGTCTTTAGCTTGCACTCTGAAACTATCATTCATTTTCCTCTTCAACACTTAAATTGTGGCCCCTGGCAAACTTGCCTTCCCACCAAGATCCTTTCTGTGGTTTTGGCAGACTCTCTGTGTGTCATTCTCTGTTCATAGTTTCTCTCTGGGGCCGTGAGACCCCGTCCTTCCTCTCCCCCAGCTGCCCTCAAGTGATCAGGGCTCCATAAAAATTGTTGTGGGACTCCTTAGGCTCAGTGCTTCCAGCTTCTCCACGGCACTGAAGACCTGGCCTTAGTCCATCAGACTTGCCAGACATACTTGGCCTCACCCATCATTGTATCCCTGGCAGTGCCTGGCAAGAGTGCCCTGGGCTCTGGGTGGAGGTGGCATGGCCAGGTGCTCTCTTGTCACATAGAGGTGCATCTCAGGTTGACCCAGACAGAGCCCAAGCCAGGTACCTTGGAGAACCTGGCAGTGGAGTTGATTAAAGACTTCTAAGGAACACATTGCACCCTTGGGGTCAGCAAGTGGCATAGTAGTTGGGGTGCTGGGCTCCCATATGGCTGATAGTGGGTCAGGTCCTGGAACTGCAGCTTGAAACTCACACTAGGCATGTGTTCCCACGTGCCCCAAATCCTGAAGGGAATGGAGAAGGGATTGCAATGTGGCTATCCACGCAGCACACATGCCCTATAGTCCAAATCTCTCAAAAACAGGAGCACATTGCACCCTGTCAACCTCAGAGCCCACGCACAGCCTTGTGACATGCACTCCTTCCTCCAGGGCCTGTCCCCTGGGCCCTTCTTGGGTGACTGGTGCCTAAGGAGCACCGGAGATGCAGTGAGCAAAGTCAGACACGGCCCTGAAGCTCTGAAGCTTCCTGATCAGCAGGGGAGGCAAGGATTACAGTCATCAGCTGTGCTGGGTGCTGTGGTGTAGACAGCAAGCAGGGGGCAGGCAAGGCTCCTCTGGGGAGGTCACATTTAAGTCACCCCAGGGTGGACTCCAAAGGCAGTGCCTGAAGCATGAGGAGAGCTTTACAGGCAGAGATCTCTGTCTTCCTTATGTGTGTGCACACATACCCTACTGTAAATAAAAAAAGGTAATGTTAAGTAGACTGTGGCCCAAGAAACAAAGCTAGCTGGGGCTCAGTGTAGAGGAATGTGTTCTGGTCCCCAGTCTTCTGTGCCAGGGCAGAATGAGAGGCACCTTCAGAGGAAGAGGAAGGTAGGTATCATGTCCCCCAGGAGTTCTGGCCAGCCCTTCTCCTGCTCTCCCTCCCCCATCAGGCTGGATGCAGACAAACGACAGAATGAGTGGATCAGCAGATGCATTTCTAGACTCTGGCCTAGAATGGACTCTTTCTTCCATAGATTATCCTTAGCCAATGGTGGATACACATAGAAAATGCCCTTACGCTACGTCTGAGTCTCTTGATTCCAGATATTCACTTGGGAATTGCTGTGGGGACCAATAATTAGCGTAATGGCTATGTCGCTGGACTCCCATGTAATCGACCGCAGTTTGAGTCCTGGACCTGGTGGCTTAAACTCATGCCGGGCGTGTGTGCGTGCGTGCCCAAGATCCCGAGAGGAGAATGGAGGCGAAATGATTGCAGCGTGGCCATCCCCCTAGGGGGTGATTTCTCAATTTCTGTCTCTATGTCTCTCTCTGTCTTTCTGGTGAGCTCAGGTGCCCTATAGCCAAAACATCTCCCCCAAAATTTTTTTTAAGTGCAGCCACTAGGCACGGGTAGCCATGGAATCCTCACAGTATGACCCAAGCAACTGAGGATGTGCTTTGTAGTTGTATTTCATCTTCTAAAGTAATTATTTAGTTTTATTTATTATTACTTTTAATCTGACTAGAGACAGATGGGGAGGGTGAGAAAGTGAGCCGCCAGGTCCAAGACTTGAACCACAGGCCAGCACCTTACCTACCACACCATCTGCCAGCCCTGTACTATTTCATTTAAATTCAGTTAAAATGATCTTTAATGTGCATTAAGCTAGTGGCTACCATATTGGAAGCACAGCTCTATGGAAATCACTTCCATAATGCCGGCTCCTGAGACTAGAGAGTTTATCAAGGCTCCCACCAGGACCAAAGGAGCGTCCCCAAAGCCCAGGGCATCTTCACACAGCAAGAGTAGGAACAGGTTCCCAGGGTCGTGTGTCTGACCCCTCTGGGTGACGAGAGAAGCTCTGTTATTCAGCAATGCAGCCGATTATTTTATAAAGGGTGCTGGTCGAGGGTTAGTCATCTATCAACTCCGCAGTCACTGTCTAGTACAAAGAATTGGCCCTTCCTGACCAACTCACTGATGTACGGATGTAGCCAACTAAACCCAACCGTGTGCATAGGCCAATGTCCCAGAAAACACCAGCCCTGCGGTGGCCTGCAGCTAGGCGGAATTTAGCTCAGGGTAAAGATATGTTACAAATTAAATGTTGCAGTCGGTATGCAAAGCTGCAATAAATAGAAACTGAGTTACATCAAGGACGGAATTAAACCTTAAGTTTAAACTCCACAGTACTGTAATTAAAACTTAGCCTGTAGCAAATCATTCACTGGAGATTAAAGTAGTGTGGGGGAAGCAGAGGTTGGGGTTTACCTTGCTTTCTACCATGTAGAAGTCTGAGCTACCAAAAGCTAACAGCCCTGCCCCCAGAGCCAGCTCCCAATTAAAAACACAGTTTGAAAACCTTTAGGAGGCCTGAGGGGCCCCTTTAACAGAAGTCTGCCCCTTCCCCCCTGCCTCAGTGTATGAACAAATTAAAAAATATTACCTGGTCCCCTGATGGTCCTCTGAGCTGACACGGTGTTTTCATTAATACATCATTAGAGTAATGGCACTGTGCTGGTGTTCTGCTTTCAAACAGCCTGCCCTTCAGCCGCCAAGAATTCAGGCTCAGCGGCCTTAAACGCTTTGTTCCTGAGAAATATTATTCAGGCCGTCTAAAGGAAAATAAAACGAAGACCAACTCTAATTCATCGTCGATTAATATACAGTCTTTTTATCCCAATCTGAGTTGTGCAAGGCTTTTTATTTTTTTTTTTCAGGGTTTTATTTGTGTTGTTTGTTGTGGAAAGGAATACTGAGGTTTGCTTAATCGTGACCCTAACTAGTAGAATCTGCAGGTATTTGCAACTCCCTGCCAACAACGCCCCTCCAAAAACATGGGTTTCTCTGAGGATGGGAGTCTGTCATTCCATGTAAAAGCAGTCTCAGGACTCCACGTGGAAGCTGTGGGATTTGTTTTGTTTTGTTTTTGTTTTCTAGACTGTGAACTGTTACCTCATAGACAATAATGGATTTATTCTGGTGTCAGAAGACTATACACAGGTGAGTGAAACATTTCCCCCAACTCAAAGTAAGGGGCTCGGCATGGGTTTGGTAGGGGAAGCAAATGACGGGGGTACACTTTGAGACAATGATCTATATTTAAAAGGTAATAACAGCAGATTAGAAAACCTTATTTCCATCCCCCTACGAATGCCACAGCCTACTTCTCAGCAGGGCCTGAAGAGTTTTTACCTCCCAGTGGGGGGTGGAAGGTGGCTGCAGAGCCCAGGGTCTGTTCTCTCACTCATAAAATGTCCAATTTATAGAACTCTTTGCTTTAGAACTGTCTGTGCCCCTTAAAGAATTTTTGCCTCCAGGGTGGGGGTGCTTTAAAGAGTTAGGGCAACTTTAGGAGGTTTTCTTCTTCTGATATTTTACCCACCCACACATGCCCCTGCATAATTATGGCTTATGGTTTTCTTTCTGGTTTTTGCTTTTTCAACATCAGTTATCTAAGTTCAAAATTGAACTGGGGCTCTCAGAGGGTCTAGAGGTAGACAAGGGATAGCCTTCATCTGATTGAGCCACGTCTGTGTGGGTAGGAAAGGGAGAGAAAATGGAAAGAAAGCAAGCCTGCACCAAACACAGAAATGGCCACCTGAAAATCAAAGTGAGCATTCCACTTGCCGGCGGTCTAATAGAGAAACATAGGCGTTTTCCATTCCGACTTTCTGCATTAAAACATTCCCTGTGATTATAAATTAAATTTAGCATATGAAAAGAAGGTAAAAGACAAGTTTAGCAGGGCAATATAATGAAGTCATAGTAACAGAAAAGGCAGATGGTTTTTGTGCTAGTTCTTTCCCTTAACTAGTGTTGGGAACTATGACCACGGCCTAACCCACCTGGGCTTTCTGATAGTCTCTCTAAAATAAGGATAGTTGGCAATGTAGGATTTGTTCCAATGCTGTTATTGGATGATACTGATATTTCATAATTAAGTCCCTTTTGAATCACTTAACGTTATTTCATAATCATCGGTAGATTCATTAATGCTTAATACATTAGCTGATTGTCCTTATGTGTGACTCTGTAGGCTCTGAGCTTAATAGTTCATTAATTAATGAATGAAAGCTCTAAGAAACTTAAAGAATTGTCCTTCCCATTTCCCTCTTATCCATGGGCTTGTTAAAATGGGTTAAAAAAAATTGCACTGAGAATTAAAATGCTTAGTGCAGTCTCCTCCGATGCTGAAATCATTGGACAGTGGATGGCCGATGGCCATGAGGATGAATGAGCCAGAGACATGGCCAGTCTCAAGTAGTAGCTATGTCCGGCGGCCTATGGTAATAAGCTCATTTGGCTGGGAGGAAGACCATGTGGACATTCGAGAATCTATGGAGCGAGAACCCCCATTAATCGCTTGGGAAGAGAAGCTCTGTTTCTACCATAGTCCTAGAAGGCGGAGATAAGAGCCTGATCCCGGGTGCAGGAAGGACACAGTGGATGCCTTCCAGTGGTGAGTCCGGGGCTAACCAACAAACCATTGGAATAGCAACTCGGACAAAGCCATGGCCACTGCAGAGTCCCTACTTTACCCCTCCACGGAACAGGCCTGCAACATGACCTCCCCAGAGCCTGCCAGCTGCTCAGCCTGGGCTTGTTTGATGTTGTCTGGCTTCCTACACCCCAATTAGGATAATTCGTCTTCATCTAACAACCAGTTCCATTGACACTGGCATATTTACACACACCAAGTACAAATGTCCTCCTTGCTCCTGGCAGCAGCACACACCCAGAGAGTTAGCAAAAGTTTCCAAGTTACTCTGTGTAAGAAAGGAGGTGCTAGGTATTCCAGCAGAGAAATGTTTCCTCCTTCCTCCCCCCTCTCTTCCCTGACATTTTGCTAGAGTCTCTCTCTCTGTATGCCATGCCATTCTAAAATTCTCAGGAGTACGGTAGAGGCCACTCAGTTGCAGTGAGTTGGGGTTTAGTTCATACTTAACCTAAAGAATTTATGTAAGGGACCAGCAGTTAGCGTAATGGCTATGTCACTGGACTCCCATGTCGTCGACCGCGGTTTGAGTCCTGGACCTGGTGGCCTAAACTCACGCCAGGCGCATGTGCATGTATACCAAAGATCCCAAGAGGAGAATGGAGGAGAAGTGATTGTGGTGTGGCCATCCCCCCTGGGGGGGTGATTTCTCACTTTCTATTCTCTCTGTCTCTCTGTCTTTCTGGTGAGCGCATGTGCACTATAGCAAAAACCTCTCAAAAAAAAAAAAAACCGAATTTTATAAATTTGGATTTCTTACTGTAATGCCCTCCACCCACCCACACGCAAAGCTTCAGAGCACCCAAAGTAGAGTCAGAGATTACTTAAAACTCATGCCAGGTGTGTGTGCACACGTGCCCAAGATCCCGAGAGGAGAATGGAGGAGAAGGGATTGTGGCATGGCCATCCCCCCCGGGGAATGATTTCTCGCTTTCTGTCTCTCTCTGTCTATCAGGCGAGCACACATGCCCTATAGCAAAAACCTCTCAAAAAAAAAAAAACCGAATTTATATAATTTGGATTCTTACTGTAATGCCCTCCACCCACCCACACGCAAAGCTTCAGAGCACCCAAAGTAGAGTCAGAGATTTCTTCTGGCCTGCACTGGCTCATTCCAGGGTATTTGGCAGAAGGCCATTGACACAAGCTCTGTCCCACTGCACTGTGTGCGCCCTCCCATGGAGCACCTGGGATGATTGTGCCTCCAGAAGTCATCACACACAAGGATGCTCCTCCTTCATTTCAGCAAAGTTTGCAGTCTCAGCCAGCACCAAGAACAGGACTTGCAAAAGCAGCAGCCTTGTACTGGGGAAAGTCTTCAGGGCCTCAGATGACCTGAAGGCAGCCATTAGCAGTTGAATGGCCATGCTACCTCCTCCAGAGGCTCCTCTTACTCCTGGCCAATAAACGAACTGCCTATGGACAACACGCAAGAGTTTCTCAGAAAGTGATTTTGAGAAAGGACTTGTTCTCAACTGCAGGAAATTTATAGGATCAGAGAAGAGGCCTGCTATATTTCCCTAAACAGGTCATCCAGGAATTATAAACAATTCTTTTTATTACTGCTGAGGAAGCCATTTCACAGCCTGTTTCTGTTGTATGAAGTAGCACTTTAATCACAAGGGATTATGTGCAAGGGATTAATGCCTGTTCCATCCAAGGATGATTGTGTCTGTATGTGTATGTGTGCACGTGCACACGCGCGTGTCCTTGGGTGCTTGAATTGCAGCATGTGTTATGCAAGGCCTCCCCTCCATGTGTTGTTGAAGCCTTCACATCTGTTCTCTAGTTCACTCTATAATCCCGTAACTTCTCATGAATGTTAAAAGCTTTCCCACATGTATGGATCAGGACCAGGATCCTGGAGACCCACCTTTAGCTCCCTTTGGAGGGGGACACATAGACTGCATCCGTTTCCATTTCTCCTCTGCTGTTCGGGTGCATTATTTATCGACCCTTCCTCATGTCTTTTCTTTCCCACAGACGGGAGACTTTTTCGGTGAGGTCGAGGGAGCTGTGATGAACAAATTGTTAACAATGGGCTCCTTTAAAAGGTAAGGATTTTATGGTCCCCCGTGTCCCTCAAAAAAAGTTTGCCTAAATAAAATAAAACAAACCGAGGTCAAATAAAGCAAGCCCAGACTTGACCCTGGAGCTGGTTTGCACTTGTGCTCATGGCCTAGCAGATCTCTCGCTGAAATCCGATGCCTCTTGCATGAGTGTTAAGAGTCTCAGAAACAGCTCACAATGGGCTTCCTGTTCAGCCAGCAGAGTTTATTGGAGGCGAATATTGAAGCAGGAGTCTGCACTGTGCCGTGATTATGTCAGTCTTCAGCAGGTCGCTGCACAGCAGTAGGAATGTTTCCACCTGGCTAGAAAGGAGGAGCACTTTTTGTCTCACGTGGACAAGCCAAGGAAGCTCCCTAGAAATCTGGAACTCAGGGATGGCAGGGGATACGTAAAATCTTGTAGTTGGAATGTTAGCAAAATCAGGTGAAAGTTCTCAAAACCTGCTCCTGATGGAGATCAGTTCAAGATCATCGCTGAAAAAAATTCCGGATGGTGCCACATTCCCTTGGGTACTATTGAACTACTGAACTAGGTTGGGAGGACTCTCCCAGGCCCAAGTACAGCTTGTCCAGAATGACTTTCTCAAGCTCACAGGTCCCTCGTGGGCGCACCAGCCACATTCTGGGGAACACCTAAACCTGTGGGAAAGGCTGCGTGAGATCAAGATGCCGGAATGTCTTCCCGGGAGTCAGTGCCGTCTCCCTTCTCCTTGGCCTCCCAGGAAGAATGGCAGCCTTTGAGGTGGTTCTTTCAGGGTTTATTGGATACCTTTAAATATATCATAGGAAATACGAGGGTGGACCTCCAGCTTGCCTGTGAGAGCCACTGCACACCAGCAGCCAGTGGCAAGGACTGGCCTTTAGGTTCCCACTTCCAGGCAGCTGAATAGTGTTAGCTCAGGAACTCAGGCTTTTAAGCCGGTCAACAAGACCAACTGAGCACTGCTGAAAGTGAGGAATTCAAAAATGAAGACCCAGATTTTGAAATTCCATTGCCCATTTCTGCCAGAAGGGGGGGGGGTGGAATAAAGAAATGATATAAAAAAATGAATAGCACACCAGCCCTTCTACAATCTCTAACCCCCTCTAATATCTCCGGCCTGCCTACAGCAGATGGTTCACTCCTGCCCAGTTCCCTTTTAAGACCCCTAGTCCTGTTTTCTTTGCCACGAGTCATGGAGCACATGCCTGCAAACTCTGCTTGGAGTGGGCTTGGGTGTCTGTAGGGCTTTCCACAGCAGCTCCTCCATGTCTGTCGCCAGGGCACCAACTTTCCTATCTTTCTGCGCATGTGTACATTTGAATCAAGTTAGCTTGTTTTCAGCCTGGTGGGGGGAGGAGACAAAAGAGGAAGAATAATCGCACACATGTTTCTCATTTGGAGGCATATTTTTCAACTTCTTTTAACAAACTTTTTTTTTTTTCTTTTTCCCTCCTGGATATTCATTTCAGACTGTTTGGTGGGAGACAGGGAGTGATTTTAATGGGATTTTAAACTTCTAGTCTTTTCCTTAATGCAAGTGAAGTGTAGTTGGCATGAATCTAGAACTTACTTTTACACTAAGAGTAGCCAACATATTTGAGAAAAAGAAGGGGTTTGAGACTTTATTCCATTTTTGTTTTAAAGTTTATTCATTTAGTTTGTCTATGAGAGAGAGACAATGGGGCCAGCAGGTGGTGTGGTGGTTAGGGTGGCTGGACTCTCATGTGAATGACTGCGGTTCGAGTCCTGGACCTGGCAGGTTGCTTTCTCACTTTCCTTCTCTCTCTCTCTCTCTCTCTGTCTTTCTCTAGTCAACTTCAATAAAATAAAATAATAGCATTGAATAAAATTGAATAATTCTTAAGAAAAAAAAAAAGGCGAGCAAGAGACACGAAAGACAGGCATCCCCAACAGGGTCCCCATGCCACAATCCATTCCAGTCTCAACCAGCCCAGATCATGTTCATGCAGACACATGGCTGGTGTGCATGGGAATGTCCCAGGATGTGAACCCAGGACCTTCCCATGTGGACCCAGTTGCATTCCCACTGCACCACCCCCTGGCCCATTTTTCTTAATGACTACAGCAAGTGTTGTCATCCAGAATTCAGTGGATGAACCTTGGAGACCTCTTTGAAGATCTCCTCACTGGGACTAACAAGAATTTGGATTTTAGAAGTCCAACTGCCTGGGGTCTGCCGTTTACCAGCTGCATGGCTTAGAACAAGTCAGGTTACCTCTGCAAACTTTGGTTTCCTTATGTGGAACTGAAGATGATGATAGTAATCCCAAGGGTTGCTGCCAGAGGTGATGAGCTAATAAGCATGAAGCTCTTCACACAGTGCCTGGCGCGCAGTCGGGGCTCAGTAATCGCTTGCTGCTGTGGATCTGTGCTCTGTCGTGGCTTTGCTTTCTGCTTGTCACCAGGCAACACTTCTCTTAGTTCACACCTCTCCCCATGATACCTGGTGGTGAGGTCTCTCCTCCTGGTGAGCCATTGGCCTTGAAGTCAGACCTGAGTGCCCTTGCCCTTCCCTCATCGGGTGCTTGCTCAGCATAAGGTTGACAGTCCTTTCCTTTAGAAATCTGTAAGGGTGTAGCCGGGAGTCACTGACAATACTGTGGGACTGAAAGTTGTGCACCAGGTCGAACCACACCACACCCCCAAACATAGGATACATGGAGGCTGAGTTGCTTTGGCAAGGGGGGTCAGCCCAGGTAAAGCAAGGCAGGGTTCACTCTTCTGACCTGTCATCTCAGCATCTGGGACAGTGCCCCTGACACAAAGCTTCTTAACTTCATTGGCTTATCCCCAGTCCTAAAGAAAGGAGTTTCAGGGGCTGGCAGGTGGCATGGTGGTTAAGGGTGCCAGGCTCCCACATAGCCAACTGTGGTTCAAATCCTGGACATAGTGACTTGCTTTCTCACTTTCTCTCTCTCCCTCCCTCTGTGGTCAAATTAAAATAAATAAATAAATAAAGTTAAATAAAATAGTTTTTTTTTTTTTTTTTTAAAGGGTGTTTCACATGCAAGAGCCCTACAAACCATTTTCTCTAGAAAGACAGGCTCAGGGAGGAGGACACCATCTCCCATCATTGACCTCCACTTTTTATTTTTCCCTTATAGTCATTGCTTTTGTCACTTAGACAAACAATAGCAACTTTCTTGTAATTTTTTTTTTAATTTTTAATTTTCTTATTCTGTCCACAAATGAGAGAGAACTCCTAACAGGGTCCTGATGCCTCAGTCGGCCACCAGCCTCAGGTAGCATGCCAGGCATTTGTGAGGAGGCCTTTAGACATGAACCCAAGCCTCCCACATGGGTCAGCCTCACAGGGCCTCACGTCTGACCACTGCATCACTGCCAGCCCCCTGACCCCTTGACCCTGTCTCCCTCTGGTCCACCTTTGCTGCCCCTCTCTAGAGAAGTGGGGTGATGTTTGCCTATGGGACAGTGGTCTTTATCTTTGAATTTTTTAAAAAATAATTATTTAATTTTATTTATCATTGTTATGTTGTAATTTACCAGAGAGAGAGAGAGAGCTTTTGTCACTTAGACAAACAATAGCAACTTTCTTGTAATTTTTTTTTTAATTTTTAATTTTCTTATTCTGTCCACAAATGAGAGAGAACTCCTAACAGGGTCCTGATGCCTCAGTCGGCCACCAGCCTCAGGTAGCATGCCAGGCATTTGTGAGGAGGCCTTTAGACATGAACCCAAGCCTCCCACATGGGTCAGCCTCACAGGGCCTCACGTCTGACCACTGCATCACTGCCAGCCCCCTGACCCCTTGACCCTGTCTCCCTCTGGTCCACCTTTGCTGCCCCTCTCTAGAGAAGTGGGGTGATGTTTGCCTATGGGACAGTGGTCTTTATCTTTGAATTTTTTTAAAAATAATTATTTAATTTTATTTATCATTGTTATGTTGTAATTTACCAGAGAGAGAGAGAGAGAGGTAAAGTGAGAAAGCAAGCTGCCAGATCCAGGACTCGAACCATGGTCAGCCATATGGGAATCCAACACTTTAACTACCATGCCACTTGCCAGACCCTCTTAAATGTTTCCACACTCACCATCCCGCCTGGCAGAGAAGAAACAGCCACTCCTGGGTCCGCAGTGCCACGTGGAAGGAAATCTGCAGATTCTCATAAATAAGTTAACCTGAGAGAGTTTTGAGAAAGTCCTACAGCAGCATGTGAAAGGACCTTAAAGGACCTTAAGCCAAAACTGGTTCCTCTCATTCACTTCAGCTGAGTCTTTGACCTGACTCTGTCTACCCTGCTGACATATGGCCAGTATGCAGGGCCCAGACAGCAGGCCAATAGCTTCAGGAATGGGAAGGAGCTAACATGGCTGCCTTTCCCAAGCACCTACTACACACCAGCCTGGGTCACACTTGACAAACCTTACCCCTTGCAGGTCTCAATGCAAAGGAGAAATGCAGGGCCTATCACTCATAAAGTCTCAAGAATGTCAAGACACCAAAAGCAGAAAATTAAAGCGTGGGACCGTCCCAACGCAGAGCTGTTTGATTATGCGGGTCGCACACCTATGAGGCCAGCCCTGGTATAAATAGACTCACTTTGTAGATAGAAGTAATAGACCATGGGATTATGAACTTTCCCTAAGACTCTGTAGCAGAGCTAGATTCAAACACTCTGCAGTCTGAATACGGAATTTTCTAGCTCTTGCCCTTTGCCTGTTTTTATGTGTAATTGCCCTGCACATGGGACTTCTCTCAGTGGTCTTGGAGGGGTCAAGAACAGCTGAGGAAGAAGTTAGCTCAGCATTGTCTTATCTGCCAAGCAGAGCTTTCCAGATGCCAAATTAACTGAGTGATAAGACAGCCCAGATTTCTCTTAGCTTAAGTAGATAACTGGTTAGACCAAGCCATACTTCCAGGCTTCCTATGGCTATCATAGGATAGCATATGCCTGGTCAGCTTTTTGTGTTCCAGAGACCTTCAAACACTTCTTCATTCTTATCATGGAATGTAAGTGGA